AGATAGATAGATAGATAGATAGATAATAGAGAGACTGAGATAGATAGATAGATAGATAGATAGATAATGAAGAAAATTAGATAGATAATAAAGAAAATTAGATAGATAGATAGATAGATAGATAGATAATGAAGAAAAATAGATAGATAGATAGATAGATAATGAAGAAAATTAGATAGATAGATAGATAGATAGATAGATAGATAATGAAAATTAGATAGATAGATAGATAATGAAGAAAATCAGATAGATAGGTAGATAGATACATAGATAGATAATATAGAGACTGAGACAGATAGATAGATAGATAATGAAGAAAATTAGATAGATAGATAGATAGATAGATAGATAGATAGATAGATAGATAGATAGATGTAAACTGAACTAAACAAATAAAGAATGAAATAAATTAAGAATGAATGAAAGAAAGAAAAAATAAAGGAAGGAAATGAAAGAACGACTGTAGAAATAGGCTAAGATAGATCAGCAAAGATGAATCTGTTAAGAGTCTGTCATGGAAATACTCCGAATTTGAGTGAGAAGTGAATTCTGAATACGGATATATAGGACTAGGAATGTAGAGAATCCCGCCGGCATTGATTCTGCCTCGAAAATATCATCCGCCATTGGTGTTTATCATTGGTAAATGTAAAGAGATACTCGACCTAACTAATCAAAACATTGCGAAAATGTCAGACCGCAGTTACGAGTAAGGGGTACTAGTAGAATGTGTTTGTAACGTTAGCAAAGGGCGGGTATTGAAGACAAGTGAAATTTACATGGCTAAAGGAGAAGAGAAAAGGAAAGAGAAAAGAAAGGGAATTAGAAAAAAGTCTAGGATGAACGTAAAGAAAAAAGCAGAGAGTATGAAACAATAAGAGTTATGGAAAGAGGAAGGAATTATGAGGAGGAGGGGAGGAGGAGAAGGATAAATGGAAAAAAAAGAATAAAAGAAAAAAGAAGGGGAGGAGAAAGAAAGATGAATGAAAACGACAACGAAAAGAATGAACAAATTTATATTTTTTGTAATGCGAATGGAACGAAGAAGAAAAATGAGAAAAGGGAAATGAAAAGAGAGAGAAAAAGAAAGAGAATAAAAAGAGGGAGAAAAAGAAAGAGAATGAAAAGAAGAAGAAAAAAAAAGAAAATGAAAAGAGGAAGAAAAAGAAAGAGAATGAAAAGAAGAAAAATAAAGGAAATAAAAAGAGGAAGAAAAAGAAAGAGAATGAAAAGGATGAGAAAACGAAAGAGAATAAAAAGAGGAAGAAAAGGAAAGAAAATTAAAAGAGGAAGAAAAAGAAAGAGAATGAAAAGAAGAAAAATAAAGGAAATGAAAGGAGGAAGAAAAGAAAAGAGAATGAAAAGGATGAAAACGAAAAGAGAATAAAAAGAGGAAGAAAAAGAAAGAAAATTAAAAGAGGAAGAAAAAGAAAGAGAATGAAAAGAAGAAAAATAAAGGAAATGAAAGGAGGAAGAAAAAGAAAGAGAATGAAAAGAGGGAGAAAAAGAAAGAAAATTAAAAGAGGGAGAAAAAGAAAGAAAATTAAAAGAGGAAGAAAAAGAAAGAGAATGAAAAGAAGAAAAATAAAGGAAATGAAAGGAGGAAGAAAAAGAAAGAGAATGAAAAGGATGAGAAAACGAAAGAGAAGAAAAAGAGGAAGAAAAAGAAAGAGTACGAAGAACACAAAAATACTAAAAGAGTAAAAAAGAAAATGAAAAAGTAACAAAAAGAAAGCGAATAATAAGAAGAAGAAAAAGAAAGAGAAGGAAAAGTGTAAGGAAAAGAAAGAATGAAAAGAGCAAGAAAAGAGAGAGAATAAAAAGTCGAAGAAAAAGAAAGAGAATGTAGAAAAAGAAAGAAAACTAAAAGAGTAAGAAAAAAGAAAATAAAAAGAATACAAAAAAGAAAGAGAACGAAAAAGAATGAAAGAAAAAGAAAGAAAAAAGAAAAAGATAAATAATTTAAATCTAATGTAAAAAGAAAAAGAGTATAGAAAAAAGTGAATGAATAAAAGAAAAAAGAAAGATTGAAAGAAAGAACGATGATTAAAATTTTAAATCTAAAGTACAAAGAAAAGGCTAGAAAGAAAGAAAGAAAGAAGCGTTAAAATTTAAATCTAAAAGATAAATAAAAAGAGTTTAGAAAGAAAGAAAAAAGAAGGGAAGAATGAGAAAATAAAAAAGGAAAGAGATGAAAATTTAATATTAAAGGAAAAGGAAAATAGTTCAGAAATAAAGAAAGAAAGAAAGAAAGAAAGAAGGAAAGAAAGAAAGGAGATAAATATTTAAATCTAAAAGAGTTTAGAAAGAAAGTAAGACAGGAACTAAGAAAGAAAGAAAGAAAGAAAGAAAGAAAGAAAGAAAGAAAGAAAGAAAGAAAAAAGAAAGAAAGAAATGAAGAAAGAAGGAAAGAAAGAAAGGAGATAAATATTTAAATCTAAAAAGTTTAGAAAAGAAAGTAAGACAGGAACTAAGAAAAAGAAAGAAAGAAAGAAAGAAAGAAAGAAAGAAAGAAAGAAAGAAAAAAGAAAGAAAGAAATGAAGAAAGAAGGAAAGAAAGAAAGGAGATAAATATTTAAATCTAAAAGAGTTTAGAAAGAAAATAAGACAGGAACTAAGAAAGAAAGAAAGAAAGAAAGAAAGAAAGAAAGAAAGAAAGAAATGAAGAAAGAAAGAAAAAAGAAAGAAAGAAATGAAGAAAGAATGAAAGAAAGAAAGGAGATAAATATTTAAATCTAAAAAAGAGAAAGAAAGAAGAAAGAAAGACAGGAAGAAAGAAAAAAAAAAGAAAGAAAGAAAGAAAGAAAGAAAGAAAAAAGAAAGAAAGAAATGAAGAAAGAAGGAAAGAAAGAAAGGAGATCAATATTTAAATCTAAAAGAGTTTAGAAAGAAAGTAAGACAGGAACTAAGAAAAAAGAAAGAAAGAAAGAAAGAAAAAAGAAAGAAAGATATGAAGAAAGAAGGAAAGAAAGTAAGGAGATAAATATTTAAATCTAAAAGAGTTTAGAAAGAAATTAAGACAGGAACTAAGAAAGAAAGAAAGAAAGAAAGAAAGAAAGAAAGAAAGAAAGAAAGAAAAAAGAAAGAAAGAAATGAAGAAAGAAGGAAAGAAAGAAAGGAGATAAATATTTAAATCTAAAAGAGTTTAGAAAGAAAGTAAGACAGGAACTAAGAAAGAAAGAAAGAAAGAAAGAAAGAAAAAAGAAAGAAAAAATAAAGAAAGAAGGAAAGAAAGAAAGGAAATAAATATTTAAATCTAAAAGAGTTTTAGAAAGGCACCAAGACAGGAACTAAGAAAGAAAGAAAGAAAGAAAAAAAAAAAAAGAAAAAAAAAATAAAGAAAGAAGGAAAGAAAGAGTGAAATAAATATTTAAATCTAAAAGAGTTTAGAAAGAATGTAAGACAGGAACTAAGAAAGAAAGAAAGAAAGAAAAAAGAAAGAAAAAAGAAAGAAAAAATAAAGAAAGAAGGAAAGAAAGAAAGGAAATAAATATTTAAATCTAAAAGAGTTTAGAAAGAATGTAAGACAGGAACTAAGAAAGAAAGAAAGAAAGAAAGAAAGAAAAAAGAAAGAAAAAATAAAGAAAGAAGGAAAGAAAGAAAGGAAATAAATATTTAAATCTAAAAGAGTTTAGAAAGAATGTAAGACAGGAACTAAGAAAGAAAGAAAGAAAGAAAGAAAGAAAGAAAGAAAAAAGAAAGAAAGAAAGAAAGAAGGAAAGAAAGAAAGGAAATAAATATTTAAATCTAAAAGAGTTTAGAAAGAATGTAAGACAGAAAGAAAAGAGATAAAAATCCTAAGCTAAAAGAAATGGAAAATATTTCAGAAAGAAAGAAGGAAAGAAAGAAATAAGGAATAAAAGAAAGAATGGTGATCAAAAAATAATCAAAAAGATAAACGAAAAAAAGAGTGTAGAAAGAAAGAAAGAAATGAGATTAAACATTTAAATCTAAAAGAAAAAGAAAAATTGTCTAGAAAGATAGAACGAAAGAAAGAATGAAAGAAAGAAAAATGAAAGAAAGCAGATAAATATTTAAATGTAAAAGAAAGAAAAAAGTGTAAAGAAAGAAAGAAAGAAAGAAAGAAAGAAAGAAAGAAAGAAAAAATGAAATAAAGGAGATTAAAATGTTACATCTAAAAAAAAGAAAAAGTGTCTAGAAAGAAAGATTAATTGAAGGAAAGGAAATTAAAAAATTAAATCTAAAATTTAAAAAAACGGGAGAAAAATTAGAGAAAATGAAGGAAAGAAAGTAAGAAAGGCGGTAAGAAGTCTAAAGGAAAAAGGAAAAAATAGTTTAGAAAGAAAGAAAGAAAGGAGTGTAAAAGAATAAATCTAAAAGAGAAGGGAAAAGAGTCTAGAAAGAAAGAAGGAATAAGAAAAAGAAAGAAAGAAAGAAAGAAAGAAAGAGAGAGAAAGGGGGTAACATTTTAAAGCTAAAAGAAAAGGAAAACAGCTTAGAAAGAAAGAAAGAAAGAAAGAAAGAAAGAATTTGGAAGAAGAAAGGAAGAGGAAGAAAAATGAGAAAGATTATAAATTTTATTTTAAATCGGAAGAAGAAGAGTCTAGAAGGAAAGAAAGAATGAACACAGTGAAAGAAAGAAAGAAAGAAAGAAAGAAAGAAAGAAAGAAAGAGAGAGAAAGGGGGTAACATTTTAAAGCTAAAAGAAAAGGAAAATAGCTTAGAAAGAAAGAAAGAAAGAAAGGCAATAAAAATTTAAAATTAAAGGAAAAGGAAAAAGAGTGTACAAAGAAAGAATGAAATAAAAAAATAGATTGAATATTTAAATCTAAAAAAGCTAAAATTTTCAAAGAAAGAAAGAAAGAAAGAAAGAAAGAAAGATTAAATCTAAAGCAAAAGACAAACCAATCTAGAAATAAATAATGAAAGAGAGCAATATTCGAATTAAAAATTTGAATTTAAATGAAAAGGAAAACGTGTCTCTAGAAAGAAAGAAAGAAAGAAAGAAAGAAAGAAAGAAAGAAAGAAAATATTACAGAGAAGGCGAAGTACATAATTCTAAGAAAGAAAGAAAGAAAGAAAGAAAGAAAGAAAGAAAGAAAGAAAAAATATTACAGAGAAGGCGAAGTACATAATTCTAAGAAAGAAAGAAAGAAAACATTACAGAGAAAGACAAATACATAATCCTAAGAAAGAAAGAAAGAAAGAAAGAAAGAAAGAAAGAAAGAAAGAAAGAAAGAAAGTTGAATGGTACGGGAAGAAAGAAGTGATTTGAAGAAAGAAAAACTGAAAGAAAGGAAACAAGGATGAAAGGAAAAAAGGAAGAAAGAAAAACCAAAGGTAAAGAAAGAAAGAAAGAAAGAAAGAAAGAAAGCTGAATGGTACGGGAAGAAAGAAGTGATTTGAAGAAAGAAAAACTGAAAGAAAGGAAACAAGGAAGAAAGGAAAAAAGGAAGAATTAAAAACCAAAGGTAAAGAAAGAAAGAAAGAAAGAAAGAAAGAAAGAAAGAAAGAAAGCTGAATGGTACGGGAAGAAAGAAGTGATTTGAAGAAAGAAAAACTGAAAGAAAGGAAACAAGGAAGAAAGGAAAAAAGGAAGAAAGAAAAACCAAAGGTAAAGAAAGAAAGAAAGAAAGAAAGAAAGAAAGAAAGCTGAATGGTACGGGAAGAAAGAAGTGATTTGAAGAAAGAAAAACTGAAAGAAAGGAAACAAGGAAGAAAGGAAAAAAGGAAGAAAGAAAAACCAAAGGCAAAGAAAGAAAGAAAGAAAGAAAGAAAGAAAGAAAGAAAGAAAGAAAGAAAGCTGAATGGTACGGGAAGAAAGAAAGATTTGAAGAAAGAAAAACTGAAAGAAAGGAAACAAGAAGAAAAAAAAGGAAGAATTAAAAACCAAAGGTAAAGAAAGAAAGAAAGAAAGAAAAGAAAAATGAATGGTACGGGGAAGAAAGAAGTGATTTGAAGAAAGAAAACTGGAAAAGAAAGGAAACAAGGAAGAAAGGAAAAAAGGAAGAAAGAAAAACCGAAGGTAAAGAAAGAAAGAAAGAAAAGAAAGAAAAGAAAGAAAGAAAGAAAGAAAGAAAGCTGAATGGTACGGGAAGAAAAAGTGATTTGAAGAAAGAAAACTGAAAGAAAGGAAACAAGGAAGAAAGGAAAAAGAAGAAAGAAAACCAAAGATAAAAAGAAAGAAAAGAAAGAAAGAAAGAAAGAAAGAAAGAAAGAAAGAAAAGAAAGCTGAATGGTACGGGAAGAAAAGAAGTGATTTGAAGAAAGAAAAAACTGAAAGAAAAGGAAACAAGGAAGAAAGGAAAAAAGGAAGAAAAGAAAAAACCAAAGGTAAAAGAAAGAAAGAAAGAAAGAAAGAAAGAAAGAAAGAAAGAAAAGAAAAAAAAGCTGAATGGTATGGGAAGAAAGAAGTGATTTGAAGAAAGAAAAACTGAAAGAAAGGAAACAAGGAAGAAAGGAAAAAAGGAAGAAAGAAAAACCAAAGGCTAAAGAAAGAAAGAAAGAAAGAAAGAAAGAAAGAAAGAAAAAGAAAAGAAAGAAAGAAAGAAAGGTGAATGGTAAAGGAAGAAAGAAGTGATTTGAAGAAAGAAAAAACCTAAAGAAAGGAAACAAGGAAGAAAGGAAAAAAAGGAAGAAAAAAACCAAAGGTAAAGAAAGAAAGAAAGAAAGAAAGTAAAGAAAGAAAGAAAGAAAGCTGAATGGTACGGGAAGAAAAAGAAGTGATTTGAAGAAAGAAAAACCCAAAGAAAGGAAACAAGGAAGAAAGGAAAAAAGGAAGAAAGAAAACCAAAGGTAAAAGAAAGAAAGAAAGAAAGAAAGAAAGAAAGAAAGAAAGAAAGCTGAATGGTACGGGAAGAAAGAAGTGATTTGAAGAAAGAAAAACTGAAAGAAAGGAAACAAGGAAGAAAGGAAAAAAGGAAGAAAGAAAAACCAAAGGTAAAGAAAGAAAGAAAGAAAGAAAGAAAGAAAGAAAGAAAGGTAAATGGTACGGGAAGAAAGAAGTGATTTGAAGAAAGAAAAACCTAAAGAAAGGAAACAAGGAAGAAAGGAAAAAAGGAAGAAAGAAAAACCAAAGGTAAAGAAAGAAAGAAAGAAAGAAAGTAAGAAAGAAAGAAAGAAAGCTGAATGGTACGGGAAGAAAGAAGTGATTTGAAGAAAGAAAAACCTAAAGAAAGGAAACAAGGAAGAAAGGAAAAAAGGAAGAAAGAAAAACCAAAGGTAAAGAAAGAAAGAAAGAAAGAAAGAAAGAAAGAAAAGGAGCACAAAAACATAAATCTAAAGGAAATGGAAGAAGAATCTAATAATAAAGATAGAGAGAAAGAAAGAATGAAAAAAAGGAAGAACATAAATATTTCAATCTAAAGGAAAACGACACCGAGTTTACAAAGAAAAAAAAAGAAAGAAAGAATGAAAGATAGTGAGATAGAAATGACATTAAAAATTTAAATCTAAAACTAAAGGAAAAAAGTGCCTAGAAAGAAAGAAAGTGACTAAATAAGAAAGAAAGATAGAAAGAAAGATTTAATAGATGTCAGTTATCAGTTATCTCCTGTTAATTCCCCTCTCCAAATTCTCGCCTTTATCCACTGTACCGTGTGTCCTCAAGGACACATGGCAAAGTGGAGAAAGGCGTTGGTTAGATCCAGTGACAGGACCCAAAAAGTGTGAGTTCAATAACCGTTTAAGGCAGTGGAGAACTTTCAGAGGGGAATTAACAGGAGATAACTGATAACTGACATCCATTAAATATGGCATGTGAAATTAGAACAGTCTACCCCAGTGAGCGAAATAAAGGGCTAAGTTCGACATTCCATCCACCGGAAGAAGGCCGGAGCGTACAACGGCCGAAACGTTGTAATGAATATGGCGACAAAAATGAAGATAATAGTCCGAATAATGTAAATAGTGTACATAATACCTCATCTCAGAAATATAGACAGATACTGAAGGATCGGATAAATATGGCGATAAAGATGAGGACAATAGTCCGAATAATGTAAATAGTGTACATAATACCTCATCTCAGAAATATAGACAGATACTGAAAGGCCGAAACGTTGTAATAAATATGGAGACAAAGATGAGGACAATAGTCCGAATAATGTAAATAGTGTGCATAATACCTCATCTCAGAAATGGACAGATACTGAAAGGCCGAAACGTTGTAATAAATATGGAGACAAAAATGAAAGACACTAGTCCGAATAATGTAAATAGTGTACATAATACCTCATCTCAGATATATAGGCAGATATTTTATATATATATATATATATATATATATATATATATATATATATATATTAAGACATATTTTTATGTTTAACGTTGTTATTTATGAATACAAGTATTTAACGCTGGATGCCTTTACCGTTTGATGAAAGAACCAATCGTCAGCGTATATGACGGTTTTAGGATGCAGGTTCGAATGTCAAAGAACGAAAATTTTCTATGAAAATTTTCGACATTCAGGCCGGTAATGTTATTTAATACTGTTTATCATAAACAGAGCATTTGCTTAAATACTTGTATCTATAAAATAACAACGTTAAACATAAAATATGTCTTTAATAAATAAATTGTCGGATATGAATATATGAATATATATATATATATATATATATATATATATATATATATATATATATATATATATATATATATATATCATTTCAAAGATGAAGACAATAGTCCGAATGTAAATAGTGTATCCCATGCTTTTTTTTATTTTTTAAATTGTTTCGTTTCTGTAAATATTTTCTGTTCGTTTATTTTTTTTTTCATTTTTGCTTCAGTATCGTTGAGTCGTGAATTAAGTTTTTTACGTAAGTATTATGCTCTTGATCCCAATCCCACCCGACTTGTCAGCAAAGGTGACGTAGATTTCCTTGATTTTACCAAGTTCCTTGGTTCATTTTGCTGTCTCTGTAGTAAGATATTTTCACTGTTGGTTTCTATAGTAGAGGTAAGTACAGTGCTG